CCGCGACCCTAGTGAGGATTAAGCGGTGTATAGATAATGGATGGATGGATGTCGTGAACTTTCACACAGTCTTGGTTATGCAAAATTTGTCATTGTATTGTATTGTATATAAATAAATTTTAAAAACTGTATAAAAATATGTAGTTAGTGACTGAATGACGTCATTAGCATGTGTGTGGATGGTACCATTCCATGGGGCTCTTCTCCATTTCTCAGTTTCGTTGTCGGGGTACAGCATACCCCACGTATATGGCTCGTTAAACTCCGCATCTGGCTGCCATTGTCTATGCTTCTGCCTGCAAAAGACAATGAATATATTCTCAAAGATCTACTCCAGTAAAAGTTACTTTTTTTCTAATTCCTTGCTAACATGTCCATATAGCCCATATCGTGAGTCAATGCCAAAGCTGAGAATTTTTACATACTGCAACGTACCAATGACAGTCTCAAAAACACAGATTACGACTCCCAGGCATTTTGCATGCAATAAAACAAAAGGAAGTAATCCTGTCAATTTACAGGATGGGGCTTTTTGTATCTTGTATCTTCAGAATCAGTTTCCAGTTTGACAACGCATGGCTGCATTACTCAAATATTACAAATTACCACTGTGTCGCATAGAATAGTTTTACAGTGTTTACGCAAAGACGTAGATGAGTTGGTGTGCTTGAGCTGCATGGAGTGGGGAGGGATGGAGGCAGTTATACATCTGCACATTCCACAGGAAGCAACGGTGTAAAGTTACATTGAAGCCAGTTTAAAGCAGGGAGGGATTATTTTCATGGGGGGAAAAAAACAAACAAAAAACATTAACTCTGAAACACAGAGATCAGTTTCTAGGGGCTACATCAATGACCAGAGAGGGACATGGATCACACATCATCACCAGATTAGATACTATCAAAAATATTAATAGGTGTATGTTCTAATGAAAGGATGAGAACTGAAAAACAGCTTCAAACATGTATTTATTATATCTTTTGAATGGCATTGTGTTATCTAAATACAGTCAATCTCCGCCATCGAAACAGGTAGGCCACTAATAACTCAGGAGCAGCATCTAAGTAAAACAGACATCCTAAATTGTAGTCTTTGCTAATTGCATTGTTTCAAATTGTAGTTCTGATCTGAACTGTTCAGCACTACCTCTCAGGCTACCTGCATGTCGCCTAAGTGGCTTTAATCTCTTTTCGTGGAGGCTGGCATTTGGAAAGGGTGACGAACTGGGCTAAACCTGGCTTGCCAACCTGACAACTAATAATCAGATCTGGCTGATGATTGAAGCACGCAGAGGTCGTGCTAGTAAAACGAGATGTTGATTAGTGCTAAATACTGCAACACTGCAATATATAGTGGCAACAGTGTATTAGTAACAAGTGTATTAAGTGTAAGTTAGCTTACCTTAGCCATGAATGAGACATGATTGACATTATTTAATAAATAGTAGTTTGTTATTAACTTACATCCGTCCTTTACTGGTGTAACATGTAAGGTGCTGTTAAATGTTTGCAGATGCTGTTTACTCTTTCCCGTTACCCCAAAAAAGAACGATACAATTTACAGTATATTGATGATAATGCAATAATTTTGCAATTAAGAACATTTTGACCTTATACTGAATATGCAAGACGTCTGTGTCGTAAACACTGACAGTTAGGCTAACCTGACAGCAGCTCAGAAGGCAACGACTTAACAGCGAGAAAGCGGATTTGCCCTGCAAAGTACGCGATATGTTAAGGGGTCAATGCTGTGATGGCTTCGTGCATACATCATAAAGGTGTTTCCATTTAGTCAAGTTCAAAACGTAGCATGCAACTCGTTTAATTACGAAGAGGCATTGTCGGCTTCTTTAGCATCATGCTAACATTAGCTTTCAGCATGCACATTCACGTAAAGCTCAAGCTAAGACCGCCATCCACACAAATGACATGTGAAGTTTTGTATTTTTGTCGCCGTACCTGTTCTGCAGGGCCGTACAGCCAGGGCTCACCAAGTTACCGTTTAATAATATTTTTGTTGAAGGACGTCCTAGTTTATTAAACGCCCTCAGCATTGTGGCCGCCATCTTGGCTGTTAGACAACCTCTGGCCAATGACGTAGAGGAGTTTCTTCTTTTGTGGTTTTAGAGGCTCGTTGGATGTAGAACATGGAGCGTCTGCCACCTATCGGTATGGATGCATCAGCATGAACCAGTCAAAGTTTTGGTATTATAAACGATAAAAAAGAAATATATGAATCTATAAATAAAATGTAGAATTATAATAATCAATTATATTATATAGTATAATCTTTTATTCGATTTGTATATACCCATTGACTGTATGTGCAGCAGATAGATAGATAGATAGATAGATAGATAGATAGATAGATAGATAGATAGATAGATAGATAGATAGATAGA